TTATTCAGTGTTGTGCTTTGTGAACCCATGAAACTCTCCCACTAATAAATCCCTCTGAGTTATACCACAGGCCAAATGGTAGATCTACCCAGGGCAGAGGGTTTTTGAAAAGAATTTAAACTATTCCATCTTTTTGAAAAGCTTAATAACTTCATCCCACATGAAGAGGAGTAAGGTCCCAACATGTAGCATTTAAGAGGTGCCAGTGCTTGAAAACTGAAGTTTAGTTTATGATTTATTTATTCTTTGATGCTGTGCTTCTAAGACTTCCAGGCCATTGTGGTCAGGAATGATTATTACTTCTTTTTATGAAAAACCCCTCATAGCACAGTTGAGTTCAGAAATGTCAGTAAAGATTAAAGACCTAATTTAAAAAGATGTACATACCCAGTCTCATTCTTTGTACCTTTAGGCTTTCATCATATTACACAAAGCAGGAAGTAGATTCTTTTTTCTTGATCCAAGTGGTAAATTTGTTTTTTGATAACATGCTTAGGGAACTTTTGGAAGAAAACAATCCTAAATGGGTTTTGTATCCTTGGAGAAGTGCTGCATATGCAACTATTAAAGGAATGCGTTCTTTTAAATCTCGTAATAGGAAATATATTCATGCTATGAAATATTTTTCTTATAAAAATACTGATGAATTTTTAATTTTTTAGTTGTGCATAGAAAAATTACTTAAGTGGAAACCGGCTAATGTTCTCTCCTTTTGATTATTAGCATTTCAGATTAGGTAGTCATGACAAGAGAAATTTGTGTGAAAAGTAATAGATTGCTATTTGATTTGCAAGGGAAGGTCCTGTGGAGAAATCTTCTGGAGATTCCCTGAGTGTGGCCCAACAACTAACCTATGCTGGCTGCTAAATGCTAAATACTCCAGCCATACTGAATTTGCAAAAAGTAAAGCCTATTTTCCTGTTGACTTTCCTTAAAAACTAGGCAGTTTATTTGTACTCAAAACAACAGCAAAAAAAACCAAAAAAGTGCCAGTAAATATTCCTAGGTGAGTTAGTGCATATGAAGTACTCAACAAATGTTAGCCACTACTGCTGTCATAATAATACCTTTGCAAAGGCACTGTTCCTCCAGAGATCACGTGTGAGCATTACCGGAAGTACAGCCCCCCACCCCACCCCCACCCCACCCCCAGCTCAGAGCTGGAATATCTTTAGAACACAGCAGGGCAAATTTTCCTTCCCTCACTTTAAGGCCTCAGTTGTTCTCCAGAGTTAGAAAGTTCATACCAGAAACTCTGGCTCTGCACCTGCAGCTAAAGTCAGAGAATTAAACTGGATACTACTATTTTCTTTTGGCTGCCATGTGGGCCTTGCTGTGGTTTATTCAGGCACTGGAGATAAAGTGATGATGAACAAGAGGTGGCTTCAAACCTCAGGAAGTGCAGGCAGATCATGGAGACAGATGTAAAAACTGTAATTGCAACATGATGAAAAGACATTTTGAAAGAGCTGTGCAAAGGAGAGTGTGGGAACACAAACGAGAGGCTCAGAGCTCAGACTTCTTGAAGCATACAGTCCCATGATTTCTGCCATTGAGTGCATATCTGACAGCATCCCAAGGGCATCATAACATTTCTACCATTACCTAAAGAAAACATAATGTTCCTTGGCTTCATCAGTTGTGTAAAGCAGCAATGGTAAAACCTTTAGTTCAAAATAAAAGATGCTAGGTGCTGGGGGGCAGGGAGGTTGCTCACTGCTAGACCACCTGCTTAGCTTGTGTGAAGTCCTGGGTTCCATCCCCAGCACAATAAATAAATAAGTAATAAACAGGTAAAATAAGAGATACTAGTAATCTAAAGTGCTAAATACTATTTCCACATAAATCACAAGGTTTTCCAGTCAATCAGATTAGTATTTATTTTTCATTATTTCAATATTATTAAACATAGGTTTATATGTTAGAGTTGAAAAAATTGTTTTAGTTATCAGCAGTGCAAACTGTGCCAGGCTCTGTGGCCTAATAAAGAGAGTAAAATGCAATGCACCATTTTCTTTGTGGGTTATCAATGGCCTGAATAGCAGGATCTCTTTTTAAGATTCGGGCTCCTGGCTTCTGGATGGGAATATATACTGCATATTCAATTTTCAAATCAAGTTCAATCCTGACTGCACATGAGATTACAGGTTCTGAACCATACACTCCTGAGGCACCCTTATCTTAGATTGTGGTGTAAGTGGCACTTCTTGGAGCTTTTAAATACTCTGAGCCTGGTTACTATTTTACTGTGTTATTGGTAATCACTTCCCCTTTCATTACTTACCTTCTGGAAATGTCTTTCTCTCAATTATTGATCTCTAAACATGCATGGAAAATGGATTCTGTAATGTGATGGTTAGCCTAAGGAGGAGATGGAAATACGTGAAAAAAAACAAAGTGCATCTTAGAATTCCTGAAATATAATATTACTATTTCTCTCCAGGAACACTGTAGCTGTAGAAAGTTCACCCAGCTCACCTTAGTGTCAGTTGCCTTTGAGGCAACAAGACATTCTGAAGGAATGGGAGGGACTGGGTCCCAGCCGCACTCTGGTCACTGAGGAGCTGCAGGTTTCGTTACGGGTAATCTGAAGGGCTTCAGCTTCAGTGCCCTTCAAATTCAACATTAAATAATCTCTCAAAGAAGGAGTCCTGAAATCCTTAACACTGCACTGAGCCATGCACATGGCTGCATTGCAACACTGAAATTGAAACAGAAGTATAGATGCATTTTTCATTGTGAGGATGTAAATGTTATTAAAACCACACAAAAGTAGTCAGACCTCTGTATATAACCAGTTCCCGTTTTGCTATAGAGGTGTGTTTAAAACACAATGTAGCTAACACTGCTTACAATGTGAGCTCCTTTCTAACCAGATATTTTTAAATTAAGCCATCAAATTCAGAATGTCACACAAGTCTTGAAAAAAGACACCTTTTATCTCAAAATTCAAAGCCTTCTCAAATATATGTTAAACTACATAGACTAGCTTACAAGGAAAATTAAATATTCAGTGTAATTGCAAGAAATCCCAGAAGCAGTGCAAGACTGACACAAGAAGAAATTTCCTTCAGCTGCTGAATAGACTTTCTTCTCTCAGCCTTCCCTGATTCCATTTTCTACCCTGTGCCCTGCCCCCTTTCCCCCTAGAGCTCAGCTCCTTTCTGGTGGCACCCTCCTGGCTAAGACCCCAGAGACCTTTGGCCCTGACTGGACTGAGAAAGGTAGCTTTTACAGCCTTCCTTTAGGGTGCCATTTACTGGAGTCGATATTATACTTAGGACTGGATTACTGACTTGGGGAAGATGGAAGAAATGGAGGGAAAGGGCAGTTCCTCCACAGCTGATTGCATCTGCTAGAAAATCTTCTCAAGGGTGTCAAATACATACACGTGTGATAAGCTTCAGGCAGCTTTGAGGGAACATACCTGGGAGCACCATAAATTGGAAGAAAACAGCATGTATATTTTAAGAATGAAAAAATTTTTAAATCTTTCCAACATTTTGTTTTCTTTTTGTCCTCAAAGTATATATCTGCTGTTCTCCCACTTTATTCATGAACTCTGAGCAATTTCTCATTCATAAAGATAACTCCACTGTCCTTCCTGTCATGCTCAAACCCTCAGGATGGTCATTTTGTCTTGCTCTTGTCATTTGTAGATTCCTGTCAAATCTATCTGTTCCACCCTGTAGTCCACCATACTTCTCTCTTTCTGTTGCCACTACTCCCCATTTGGAGTCATAGAGCAACACCCTTTTTGATGTCATCCAGCATTTATAGTTTCTTCTGTATTCTTCTGCCAAATGCTTGGGACATGAAAATGAATGGCTTGTTGCCCTCAAGTAGAGACAGTCTAGAGAGTACAAATGGTTATAAACAAATAATCATGCCATTGTATTCCTTAAGATATTTTGGGGAAAAGTCACTATGTTATAATCAGATTATGTGTCCTTATTACTAACTATAAATATTAGAAAAGCAAGTAAAATAAGTACTTGCAATTTGCCTTTTTCTCATTAATTTTACCCAAAATAATGACATAAGCTTAGATTTCCCTTCAAAACCTACACTTTCCAAATGGATGGAACTGGAGAACATCATTCTGAGTGAGGTCAGCCAAACTCAGAAGACCAAAAATCATATGTTCTCCCTCATATGCGGACTTTAGATCTAGGGCAAATGCAGCAATGTGGTTGGACTTGGATCACATGGCAATGGGAGAGCACATACAGGAGATATGGGATTAGGTAAGAAACCCAAAACATGATAGTATTTGATGTCCCCACTACAGAGGAACTAATACAGAAACTTTAAGGCGACAGAGGTCAATATGAGAAGGGGATCAGGAACTAGTGAAAAGGTCAGGTAGAGATGAATTAACTTGAGTTGTAACACATCTGTACATGGAAGCAATGCTAGGAATCTCTCTGTATAGCTATCCTTATCTAAACTAGCAAAAATGCTTTGTCTTTCTTATTATTGCTTATACTTTCTCTTCAACAAAATTAGAGATAAGGGCAGAACAGATTCTGCCTGAAAGCGGGGGTGGGGGGGTAGGGAGGAGAAATGGCCCAAACAATGTATGCACATATGAATAAACGAATAAAAAAAAACCTCTACACTTTCTAGTTTATGTGTCACCCTTGGTAGCTAGAGCTGTCATTGACAGGTGCTGTTTGTAGCATTAATACATGTCTTTAAAAATAACTCTACTTTCTGGGCAGTTTCTTTATTTGTGAAGAAGAGCCCCACACTCAGCTCTGTTTGCATGCATATGGTCTTCCTGAGTTCAGATTCAATGGCCTGACTTTCCCTCTGATGAAGTCATCAGCCCATCATCCCCTGACAGTAAAGGAGACAATGACTTCTGTGCATCCTCTTCTTCCTAAGTCTGTCTAGAAAAGGGGATTTTCAAAGAAGAGGTGAGAAAAAGAAGATGAGTGTTTATGGTGACCATATTCAAAACTGTGTTGCTTACCACAGTCCCCTTTTACTTCTAGCTACAAGAAAACACATGAAACCCTGAGTCACGCAGGGCAGAAGGCAACGGCAGCGTTCAGCAACGTTGGGACAGCCATCAGCAAGAAGTTTGGAGACATGAGGTATGTGTGAGAACCACAGGAACCCAGCTAACCGAGCGTTGTCTGTTGGCTGGTCTTAACTTTTATTTTTTAATGGATAAAAATGATATTGTGACTAAGACGAATGTTTCTATTGAGACATTTTCTGCTTGAAGGTCAGATTAGGGGACTTGGTCCCAGGGTACCCTTTCCACTAGTAAAAACAGAAGAGAAGAGGGTAATGAGGAAGGGTTTCAAAACAATGCAGCCCATGGTGCATCTTTCAGTCTTCGTTTAATGGACACCTTAAAGTATGCGTTCAGTGACGTGTGCTCCATAGAGTATATGCCCAAAATAAACTACTCTAGGTTCCATTTTTGTGTACAACCATGTAGTATAGATTTTTTCTGTGCTAAAACATACATATTTATTCTTTTATACCATTTGGTTCATTCTTCTAGTAGTTCTCTTTCTTCACTTTAGTAATGCATTATGAAGATGTAAGTATTTTTACATCTTCATTTGTAATGACCTTGTTATCCCCCACTACATAATGGCAACCACATTTTCAAACAAACACCTTCCTTTTTATAGTTATTTTCAGTATTTCACTGTTTCATAAAATTAGAGCAAACATGAAAGTAGATTTTGAATTAAAAACCAAGTGTGTTCCTCTCCATGTTTATTTTTATGTTACATACGAGGAAATTATCCTATTAGAGTTATTGCTCTCATATGTTTTGCTTGCTTAAACACCTAATATGCTAATATGCCTTAGGACATCTTTCTTTAGAAATCAATTTCTTTCCTTTTTTGCAGTATTAGGATTTGAATTTAGGACCTCATGCTTGCTGGGCAGGTGCTCTACCATAGAGCCATGACTCAGCTCTTTTATTTTCTTTATTTTTTGGATAAGGTCTTGTGGTTTTTTTTCTGGGCCAGCCTTCTGACTGCCATCCTCCTACCTATGCCTCCCATGTAGCTGGGATTACAGAAATATACCACTACACCAAGCTCATTTGTTGAGATGGGGTCTCACTAACTTTTTGCCCAGGCTGGCTTTGAACCTCAGTCCTCCTTATCTCTGCCTCCCAAGTATCTGGGATTACAGGCATGAGCCAGTGCCCTGCTCAATTTTATTTTTCTCTCTAGAAATCAAATTCATTTTTTAAAGCTTTTCAAGTAAATTTTAAGTTTCTTTTTAAAAATTCCATGTGTGTCTATTTCACTGGGTTCTTAAACCATTATTTATCATCCTGCAACTTTAATACCTGGAGGCAAATCTTTCTATCTTTGTGCTTAAATTATTTTGACTTCAGAAATTGCCGGATTATGTGAAGTGTTCATGAACTGTGTTAACAACCTAAGGATAGAGTTAAGGACATGTGCACAAATCTGAGCAAATTGTTTTATCTTCATTTTTACTGACACCACACTATCAAATACCACACTATCAAAAGTGATTGAAGTTCTTCAGAGGCAGCATGCGATAAACAGGTGAACCCTCTGGATATGGGTTACCCCTGATTTTATATAAATCAAACTTGCAATCATTCCAACAGCACTAACCATCTGTCTAAACAATCCCTTAGACTAGGAAAGTTCCTCTTACCAGCTGTAGCCAAGAAATATATTTTGGCATGTTTATAGGGTTTGTTCTCTACATAAGTAGTTGACGGTTTTCACTTGGACATTGGAGACCTCAGCTCAGTACCGACAACTAGAATGGTACGTCTTCATCTTCACAGCACCTTAGAGAACTGCTGTGGAGCGTGTAGACATGTACTTCCAGACTTGGTGGAGTCTGGAAATTTGCCTGTGTAACTAATTTCCAGGTAACTCAGCTTCAGGAGATCAGGTTCAGAGGAGGATGGGTGAAACTCATCTCACCTGTACCTAGGTGTTCTCATCTATAAAATAGGACTAAGGGGAACAGTGCTGGGCTGGGGCTGGGGCTCTGGGGTAGAAGGCACGCTTTGCATATGTGAGGCCCTTGGTTCAATCTCAGCACTGCTAAAATAAATAAATAAATAAATAAGAGTTGTGATATAAAAGTGGCAGAAGAGAGCCTTGCATGTATTACACACTCAATAAATGCTAGTTTTTAATCTTCGCTCAGTGATTATCTCAGTTACACAGTCACCCCGCATGAAGGAAATTAGGAAGTATCCATTAACAGGAGCCCATTGTATTTTGTAAAGGCTCCAGTCATTAGATTTGTTTGTTTGTTTGGTTGGTTGTGGGGGGATTGAACTCGGGAGTCTTGTGTCTGCTAAGTAGGCACTCTACCACTTGTACCGTGCTTCCAGCCCTTTTTGCACTGGGTTATTTTACAGATGGGATCTGGCATTTTTTTTTCCCAGACCAGCCTAGACTGTGATCCCCCTACTTACACCTCCCATGTAGCTAGAATTTTAGGCACATCTCCATGCCTGGCATATTTGTTGAACTGGGGTCTCAATAACTTTTTGCCCAGACTGGCCTCCAACTGTGATCCTCCTAATCTCTGCCGCCTCTGTAGAATAACTTGGATTGCAAGCATGTAGCCACTGCAGTGGTCATTGTTTTTAAAATAGTGAAGAATTAAGTCTGTGTTGCACATATGTGATGTGTTGACATATTTATGTTCATATTTGACTATAATAGCCAGATTGCACTGACTGCCATTCCTCCTGTTTTAATGTGGCTTTTGTTTTAGCACAGTGGTTAGCCTACTTACCTAAAGTTCTAGACTTTTTATTAATTACTGTTCTGTATAGAACATACAATATCTACATTATTGTATTAGTCAGACTTATGTTGCTGTGACAAAGTCCCTGGCAAAAAAAACTTACAGGGAGAAAGACTGCATTTTGGCTCAGGATTACAGAGGTTTCAGTCCATAGCCCTTTTGCTCTATTGATTCTGGGCATGAGGTGAGGCAGAGCATCATGGTTACAGGAGCATGTGGCAGAGACTAGTCCCCTCATAGTGGTCAGGAAGCAGAGAGTGAGGAAAGGACTGGGAACCAGGTATAATCATCAAAGGCATGCCCCAGTGACCTAAGCACTACCTCCTATAGTTTCCACCACCTCCCAAATTAGCACCACCAGCTGTGGACCAAGTGCTACACACACTGAACATTAAATATTCAAATCATAACATTCCACTCTGGCCCCCAGCTCATGGCCATCTCAAAAGGCAAGGTACATTTAGTCCATTTCCAGGAGTCCCCAATGTCTTAACAGTTCAGCATTATTCAAAAGTCTAAATTCAATGTCTCTTCTGAGACTCAAGGTAAACTCTTAGATGTGAGGCCCTGCAAAATCAAAAAGAAAGTTATCTACTCCCAGAAGTAGTAAACATTCCCATTCCACACAAGGAATAGGCGAATAGCAAGGAAGAACCAGTCCAAAGCAAGATTGAAACCAGCTGGGCAAACACTAAATCCTATAGCTCCGGGTCCTGCATCCAGGGCACATGGTGTCATATTTGCAGCCCACATGACCCTCTCTTGGGCTGGCTCCACTCATTGCCTCAGCAGACCACAGCTGCACTGGTGTCTAAGTGCCTGAGTGGCTGAGCATAGTAAGAATCTGGGAGAAAATTTCCTCGGTGGCCCTGTGCTAGCAAGCGGACTGTGCCAGAGCCACTGTCTTCACACGGCGAAGTCTTTTGAGTGAGTTTACTCCTCAGTACCCTTTAGGCTACCATGTGTGGGGTCTTGATGATTCCTGAGATGTCCTTGAGACATCTTTGCTGTTGTCACCATGGTTTCAACATGGTTTCTTTGTAATGGAAGAAAAACCATGCCTTCCTTAGCCTCAACTTTACATGGGCTTTTCTGACCAAACTGCAAGATTTTCAAGTCTTTCTACTTTGTTTTTTGCTCCTGATTTTCACTGTAAAACTAGCTAAAAGCAGCCAGCTATAACTGTGCCACAGTCTGAATGCTGGGCTGCCTTGAAATCTCCTCTACCAGATTAGTTAGTCCATCAACTTTGAAGTCAGCCTCCCACAAAGTCTCAGGACACAGACAAATTGTAGACAAGCCTTTTGCTAGGGTGTTCGTCCAATTCCTAATAGAGTTCTTATTGTTATCTGAAGCCTCCTGAGTACAGTCTTTACTCTTCTCATTCCTATTAGCATTCTGGTCTTCTGAGCTCCCACCACAATCTCCGAGTAAGCAGAGTTTATAGACGCTAGGGTTCCTCTAGCCTGTACCTCCAAACTTTTCCAATTTTCTTCTGCAAATCAGTCCAAAGAGTTAACCACATGGTCAGGTTTAATCACAGCAAAGACCCCTGGAACCTACTTTCTGTATTAGTCAGATTTTTCATCACTGTGTCAAAATACTTGATAGAACAACTTAAAAAGAGGAAAGATTTATTTTGGATCAAGGTTACAGAGGGTTTAGTATGTAGTCGTTGGCTCTGTTGATTCTGGGCCCGTGGTGAGGCACTGCATTGCATCATGGTGGCAGCAGCATGTGGCAGAGGTTAGTCATCTCATGGCAGACAGGAAGCAGGGAAAGAGGAAGAGAACAGGACCTGGTATAACCTTCAAAGCACACCCCAGTCAATTACTTCCTCCAGCTAGGCCCCACCTCCTAAGGTTCCCACCACCTCCTAAAATAGTGACATCAGTTGTGAAATGAGCATTCAAAACATGAGCCTGTAGGGAACATTTTAATATTCAAACCATAACTAGAAAATGTAGGCTGTATTTCTACAGGCACAAAGACAATCCTGAATTATTTTGTGGAGTTCAAAAAAATTCAGAGATACATTTTAGTTTTTTTCTCAAACTATAATTTCTAATATTTATGTATCAATAAGGATAACTCCCTTAAAAAGCAATAAGTATTATAGTCTTAGTATTAAATTATGCTAAAACAAGTAATATGTATATCTGTTATTTTAAAATTGCCTCAGTTTAATAATGACTCTTCAATGAAAAAAATTAGTAAGTTTTGACATTTTGCTCAGATTAATGTGCCAATTTAAAAATGACAGTGAGGAAATGTTAAAATTTTAGCACAGATATTTTACTTTAAACCCTTCTTTGGTTTAAAGTATTATATTATTCTATATTTTATTAATTATACTATAAATTTCTTTTGTGCATTTTGAGAACATATTTCTAAGCTGTTCAAAAAGATTGTCAGCTAAATTTAGATAACCTTGAAGCAAAACATTACCTCACATTTTTCTTTAAAACAATTCCAAATTAATACATATCTCAAACCCACAACATGGGCCTTTTGTGGTTTTTGTTTCTTTGGTTTGGTTTGGAGGTTTTTGGCAGTACTGGGGTCAGACTCAGTGCTTCCCACTTGCAAGGCAGGTGCTCTGCTGCTTGAACCAGACCTCCAGCCTGTGGGCCTTTTAATAACTGAATGAAAAGCACTATATTAGGATTTTATTTACATGTTTTGTTAGAATTACATATATATCTATTTCCTGAACTTAGTAAGATTTTCATTTTAACCTGACTACAATTAAATTATGTCACTTTGGCAGTCATGGAATTGCCCAGTCTCTTTCTCCATCTGCAAAATAACCTTGGTAATATGGGCCTCACCAAAATATTTCCTGCAAAGTAAAAACAGAGTCACATTTATGAATGTTACTCTGAGGAAAGGCAGGCTGTTGGAACTGCTTTTATAATAATTTTGGCATCTTTTTGGAAATTTACAGTGAATTTGTCAAACTGTGATCCACTTGGGATGAAGAGTTTGGAGGAGGCACATAGTGTTAGTAGATGGTCTCAACATCTTATTTAGCCACACAAGACACAACTAGGAGAAAATATCATGCATTGGTAAAAAGTCTTTAAGTCACATTAAAAAGTCAGTGCTGTTGGCCTCCATATCCAAGGGTTCTACATTTGTGGATCCAACCAACTATGGGTTGAAAATATTTGAAAAATAATTTATTTTGTACCAAACGTATTAATATTTTTCATGTTGCTGTTCCCTAAACAACACAGTATAACAAATATTTATGTAGCACTTACCTTGTGTTGGATATTATGTATAATTTAGAGATGATTTGAAGGATGTGCATAGATTGCATACAAATACCACATACCATCACATATAAGGACTTCAATATCCACAGGTTTTGGTATCCACAGGGCATCTTAGAACCAATCCCCCATAGATATAGAGGGCTGACTGTATACGCAAAAGAAAGTGTTACCTAATTGGTTAGGTAATTAGTTACCTAATCTTTCCTTTTGAGCTCTTGAAAGGGGACAGCAGGGAGCAATGTGGTGGTTCTTTGCATCTATATGCTTACTCTGTCCTTGCTCTTCTCTCCCATGCTGCCTGGCTGCAGGTCTCACTCCATTGGGTAAGCGCCTCGTGGCTGTGTAGCTATGTGGGAGGGTGTGTGGCGCCTTTGCTGCTCCCTGGCTTCCAAGTGCCCTCTGTTTCCTTCATACTCTGTCACAACAAAAACACTAGACTGTTTTTTCATAGACTGTACATGTCCAGGAAAGTACCAGTTATAGCGTACTTGATACATTTGAGTTTTTTAAGCATATATTTCTTTCATTTCTGAATCATTTGCACCAGTTTCACTTGTTGAGCAATCTCTTAGGAATCACTTTTTCTTCATTTCTTCCCACATTGGCAAGGTTCTTAGAACTGAAAGAAGAAAAAAAGTAGCAATTGAGAGTCATGTTTTGTTTTTTTTTTTATAAAACTTATGGAAGAGAAAAATGAGAAACAAAATTGTTTTCTCTACATTGCCATGTTTCTGTGAGTTTCTTGTTATGGTTACTTTTGTGGTTTCACCTTCAACTTTCTGTCCTTCTGAAGTGGGAGGAAGAAAGGTTACTGGAAAAGTACTTGTGTTGAGAAGTTTGCAACTGTCAGTCCCAGGTCTCTGAATTAAGCCTTCTTTTAGCTGGAATCTCATTATCAACTTAAAAATTTTGTTTTCCCTAAGAAATTGCTTATGTTTAAGGACATGAACATATTGGTAATGCTGGGTTTCTTTTAGTGATATCTTTTAAACATAATTTCTACATGGAGTGTCCAGGGTAAGACCATAAGTATCCCTTGAATTTCTTTGTAAATTTCTATGTAAATATTTGTAATAAAACGCTACCCATTCAAATGACCCCAGTGGATATTGTCAGGGAAAGGTGACAAATTTGATTCAAGATCTGCTAGTTTTTTGGGAAAAGAGAAAGCAGGCACACGTTGAAGAGTAGAATTGGTGGAGCAATGCAGGAAAATGGACCCCATCTTGCTTCCTTCCCTGTCCAACCTGCATTTTCAGTGGAACTCAATGGAAAATAACAATCAATGAGAGGGAAGGTTTATATTTGTACTTGATGTTCTTGACAATTAAACCAGATGTCCTTTGCACGTGTTGGGCAAAGAACATGTCAATTGTGGTAGTCTGGCATGTGTTTCCCTGAATGCCTTTTGTTAACCACATGCATTCTTCTGTACAGTTGCTCTACAATGGACCCATTAGCTTCTACCTGCCTGGCTATACTTCCAGGGTACTGCCCTTCATTCTTTACTGTCTTTCCAAGTAGCAGCAGAAGGGAGTGGAGACCAGGTTGGACTTGGACAGGATGTCCATGGGCTGATCAGTGGGACACTGCACATGCTCAAATTTCTGCAGGGATCCTACAGGAAATAGAATAGTATGCAACTGTGGACCATCTACTCTTCCTTTATACCCTTGGAAGCTAACTGGCCTCATGCCCAAGGAAAACAAATACCATCTGGGTTGGGTGGGCAGGGAATAATGCTTCAGATATTTGTAATTGATGTTTAGAACTGTGAATCAAGAGTTTTCATGTACTTAAATTTGTTATCTTTTTTTCCCCCTTTAATCTGCTTTTGCACTGAAGCTACTCCATTCGCCATTCCATAAGTATGCCTGCCATGAGGTAATGTGTAAAATATTTTACATATTAATGCAGAATGTGTATAAAATTTATTTATCAATATTAATTTGTAAACTTTCTTCCTCACCGTCTTTATGTGAAAGAAAACTGCTAATGGGTCGTGTTCTGCTTCATGCCTCTTTCTGACAGTCTTCAGGAGGAGATGCTGATACTTCTATAGATGGATGGTGTAATGGGCTTTAGGCTTTTGACCAGATTCGCTGGCTTAAATTCAGCCTTTTCTGTATTATCCAAGACAAGTGACTTATCTATCTCAACCTCCATTCCTTTATCCATACATTGCAAAATATTGCTCGCCTCAAATGGGTGGAATAAAATAAAAGTAAACTGTGTGAATCACTGAGCTTACAGCTGGAGCATTCCATGCACACCTGTCAAGGTAGAAATACATTTGTTTTTTTTGGTGAACTAAATGCAAGCCTGGGAAGAAGTTTAAAATGAAAGGATAGGAGACTAAGAGGGCTACGGTTCTAGAAAAGATATGATTAGGACTTTTAAGGTAGAAATGTCTGCTGAACAATAAAATGTCATTAAAATACTGGGCGGATGAACTTGTGAGAAGGACATTCCCAGGCTCAAGGTTTCATGACTTAATGATACAATGAGATAAAAACTAATATAAATAGAGTTTAGAGGAATGGATGTTCAATTGGGAATCAGAAGAGGTAGGTTGTAGCTCAGCTCTGCCAAGGATTAATGTTGCAGCCATGGGAAAGTCACCTCATGGACCAGTTTCATCATATTTCAAGTAAGAGGCTAGAACCATATCTGCTGTTCTTTTCTAGGTGCTCCTGAGAACCCTAGAGCTACCTGGGCTGCCACTGGGGAAGAGGGGTATATAGATCAAGCCTCTGGGACCTTCTCTGATTTCAAGCAGAACTTCTCTGATTTCTACCTGCTTTATAGTATACATTGTGATTTGAATACACTATAGAATAGGTTCAGTTATTTTATTTAAAGTTTGAAACCAGATTCTTTCTAGATTCATTTTCAATGCTAAAAGTTTATAGTTGAACATGCTATGATTAAATCTTATTAAATAATTTCTCCCTGTTCTCCAGCACACATTCTAGTGTAATTTAATTAGAGGAATGTCTGTTCTGTTATGTCTGATGAAGTCTCTTCTACACTGGCATTATTTGGATAATTGTTTGATTTGGAAATTTCACTGCAGTATTTGGTTTTCCATATTTGGTAATAAATAGTGAGTACAGATTAAAGATTGCTTAGTTCATCTTCAAATGAATTGCTCTGAGTATTATAACCTGGTTTAAAATTTTAAATCTGGATATCCCAAGAAAGCTTGGAAAAAACATGGTTTTGCTCTATGAACTAAGAATCCATCTAGTGGCTTATAGGTCAAATGCAATCATGTGAACTTCCTGAAATTAATTTTGAAAGAAAAGTTGATTTTCTTATCTGACATATAACTGGGAACCATTAGGCTTAATTATCTGCTTACTTGTGGGCCTGTGTATTTGATAGATGTCATGTGAGCAGGTTCAGCCAAATAATGCTTGCAGTGGAAGTTTCGTTAAGTATATACTTTTGAGTCATTCAAGTGTAATTTCACTAATATTTCATGAGAACAGAGATATTATGAAAGATTACTCATAGGAATTTGACTAATATTTGAATCACATACAAGTTGTGATGCCATGCCTGGATGTCTCAACTTGCCATTGTTAATCCTACAGCCTGAATAAAGTGCATTTCTGCCATGTTGGCATGTCAAAATCTCAGGGGACAATCCCCAACAAAGCCAAATTCATTCAAAAATGTATTCTGTGTGTTAGTTTCCTCTTGATAGTATTAGAGCCATGTTTTATTCCATACCCTGCAGTGAAACCCTTATTTTATAGCCATACTCCCTTACAGAGTTTCTCTAGGCCATTCCTCTTATTTCACTTTTTCTGTACTCAAGAAAGAATAGCAAGTGGCTTATCAAATATAATAACACTTAGTTGAATTACTTGACCTGAAAATAATGTTAATTGTTGCTGAAAGGTGTAATGGATACAAGATTTAAGATTATTTTATCTTTATCTTGTTATTATAGTTCAATTCCTATTTGTTTAGTTAGACCTGGTGATATCACTTTTAAAGGTATTGACATCATTAAATTATAATGTTCTGTGGGCAAACCCAGTAATAGGAAAGCACAAATGAAGTACCAACACTTAAAGCAGCAAAGAGGACATGTAGATTATTAATTCAATGTATGAATCACAAATGAAACACCAATAAGCTTCAAAGTTTCTGTTTGATAAGAGAACAAAGTGTGTATTCTATTTGGGAGGAAAAATAATACATGCTATCAGCACCATTTTTGTCAGGCATTAGACAGGTAATGGGTATATTTAACACAAAATAATAAAACCATCAACTGTCATAAACACCACTTTATGGAAGTTGTCAAAATAATTATCTTTTTCTTTTTTTGGCAGTACTGGGGTTTGAACTCTGGGCCTTGCACTTGTTTGGCAAGTGCTTTGCCATTTGAGCCACACCTCCAGCCTAAAATGATTACTTTTTAAGGCATGGAAAAGAAAACCCTATGAACATTTTTCCCCTTGAGCTATTTCTGTCTTGTCTGACATTTGCTAAAATAAATAATTTTAAAATTTGAGTAGGAAAACTCAAATATGACATCCTCATAAATTTTTCCATTCCTTATAACAAAAAACTGAGTCAGGAAGAGGAATGTGGCGACAGAAACAATTAATTAGTAAATGGAAAATTATGCTATCACTCCACTGACTCACTGGAAATGATTTATAGAATTAATATAGTTGTATCACTGCCACTTGCTATATTGTTTATTCCAGCCATAGTTCAGTATCTGACCATTTTACTTAGAAGTATCTTGTGTCAGGCTCTAGTTTCTGGACCTAATCTAGAAAAAGTGAAACGTATTTTAAAACATGCATGGTGTAGGTGGCAAGCTGACAGAGAGCTCTGGTGCAGAGGCGATGTTTACAAATAAGAGCAGAAAACCAAACAGCATGGTTGCTAAGACACTAGGTCTTTTGGAGCTGACCTCTCTTTTTTTATTTTAGGAATTCTCCTACTTTCAAATCATTTGAGGAGAGGGTTGAGACAACTGTCACAAGCCTCAAGGTACAGATGAAGTGAATTTTGTGTGATTGGGTCATTTCACGAGGGCAGCTTAAGTACTGCTGCCATTAGCTCCGAAGGCAAGGCAGGGTCGCCAGCATTCAGAGCAGCCAAGAAGGCAGATGTACATAGAGTCAGATCTTCCTCTGCTCATGTGGAGCTATAGATAAACTCAGCATTGGATAGTGTTACTGTATACTTACGGTTGTTTGTATAAACCACTTAGGATGAACAGTGCATGAAACTGAACTGGGTTTATGTTCAGCACTTCATCTCTTAACATTATTGCTCAAAAAAGTAGATATGTGAGAGGATCATAGATGAAATAAAGGTTTTTTTATCTGACTTTAGAGTATGAGTGGGGTTAGAGGTTCTACAACATCTCAACTCCTCTGGTTTGGACACAGACCTGCAACAGCAAACTGGGTGCCGTGGGTTGTAATACCCTCCATTACCTTGGCTGCCTAGACTTATTACTAGGTTCACAAACTTAGCACAACACAGTGTGGTTATCATGGAGGGAAAATTAAGCTGATGCACTATTTTATAGTAATACATTTGATTTGATCCCTGGGTACAAAATTATTTACCATTCAATAGATTTATTGTTTAAGCATAGATAGGTTAGTCTACAGGGGGAAAAATTAAGTCTAGATTTAAAAGGTATAAACTTTCAAAACAAAATAAATCAAAACTATTATTTTTTGAAAGACAGCATTAAACAATGACTTAATGGCATCTTAATATTATCACTGTTTTGTATATAATGCATTCCTGTTTTTTACTACTACTGGGACAATTACAAAGATAGGCTTTTTAACCAGATTGAAACCAGCTATCTGCTCATGCAGATTATTCAGCTGTGACATTCCTCACCACAGCGCTCAGCATGTGCAGCCTGGGGAGTGTGTGTCAGGATGTAAGTTGTTTCTCAACACAGCTGCCATGTGCTCTTAGTGATTTGACCTGGGGAGGGGGGTTTTTCTGTTAGAGGAGGATCTTCTACATGGTTGTCTTCTTCAATTTTTAAGGGAGGAATATGCAGTGTTAAGAACATTTCTCTTGCTAGAACATCTGGTATCAAACCAGAAGGCTTGAGAATCCTAGGAATCAGTTCCTCAACACTTGGTTTGTAGCCTTGGACAACCCTAGGAGGATAGATTCTGTTGCTTGTTAGACAAGTTCTGTCATAGGATAAGTTGTACCTTTTAGGCTTTCTTTAGAAGATATGAAAATGCAAAAGAAGAATAAAGAACAACATATTTTCATTTGTTTGTAGGTAACTGGAAAGTGCATGGGTTACATAATTTAACTGTTTGATTCCCATTTTCAGCCTCTCTCTGTGCTTTCATCATGGGAATGGAAAGTAAATAGGCTGACCCCTCCTTCACACAGGCACATGCTAACTCAGCCCTCCAGATACTGTCCTGTGTAAAGATCTCCTGAAAGCAGATTCTATGCCTGTATGGTTGTCCATGAGTTTAATAAGACTCACATCTCACACACGTCCTTGTTGCCAATACCTAATTCTTTTTTTGACCACTCAGGTAATGGAGAATAGCTGATAATCATGCTTTATGTACAACCTCCCACTTCCCCAATAGTTAATTTCTCATTCCTGCATTTCCTTTTGTGTTTTAAACCTTCAAAATATCTGGATCATTCTTCATTTTTGGATCCTGAGGCTGTTTTTTGCTGGAGGATGGTTCATGAGTCAGTAAGGATGAGTGGGAGTCCTTGCAGATCTCTGTGTTGCCTATTCATTCACATATCCTGGCTTTGAGCTTGGTTTTTAAAACCACTAACAGGAACTCACAGTCATATTTATGTTTTATGAGAAAAAATGTTCTGTGATGTGAGGTCCACTCCTGCTATCTCCTCATGTAATCTGACATGTACCACATGGCATTTGTACCAAATCAGTTGTTTATGCTTTATACCCAATATCAATATTTCATGAAAACCTTTTGAATTTACCATAATCCTATAAAATTTAGTTCTGGTGACATCCTGGCAAATGTATTATTTGACAACACCTATTCTTGTGTCATCTGTATAGTCAACAAGCACACTTTGTATTTCATCCAAACAAGCAGATCTAGAACCAGCACTTATGGAACCACATTTGGTATACTCAACATGATCCTTTGAATCATGAGTAGCTCCTCCCTGCCACCTACTGTCCATCCACATCAAAGCAGGTGATATTTTTAGTGCACATACTTTTTGATGAATATATTATATGGTGTGAGTCAAACCTTTTAAGTATATTTTAAGGCAAAATATACTTTTTGTTTCTTTTGTGTCCTTTTCCTTTTAGCCAGCTGTTTTTTTTTATTGAGAGATTAGGAAGCTCAACTTGGCAGTTTAAATGAATTTTTTTGTAAGGCACAACTATAATTTTGGAGACAAAGTGAGAAATTATTAGATGAAAAGCCATTATGAAGGGAAAGGTACAAGAGAGGTTCATTGTTTATGTCTTTGCTTAAGCAAAGTATTGCAGTATACAGTTAGTAAACCCACATGCTTAGATCCATGTATTCCACCAGTGTCAAGTTGATTTCTTACAAAACACATCTTTATTTTACTATTTTGATTTGAGAAAATCAAAAAGTAGAAGAAAAAAGGTACAGAAGAAAACATCAGTAATTGGTATTCACCTAATATAATACTGTGTGATTTCTATTGTAAAACAGAAGCAAAAAAATGTGAATTTTTTTTTAAAGGAAAAAAGGGAATGGGAACTATTTGTAGATTACATTGAATTAATGTTACCTGTTTCTCTCAGAAAAGAAATAAGCACAGTGAGATCACATAGTTGAAAGCATCTCCCCCACTCCTGCCTCTGCCAGGTGCTAAGATAGCATGGGGTGGAGGGACACCAGTGCTCTATGCAGGGGTCTACAAACTAAGCCTATGGGCCTGGGGGCCTATGCACCAGCTGGTCACTTACTTCTGAATTACCTGTAAGCTAAAAATGGTTACAAAAAATAAGACTACTTTGTTATACATTTAAATGAAATTCACATACGGTGTCCACACCTAAGTCTTACTGTAACATCACCATGCTCATTCACTTCTGTAGTATTCTGGGGCTGCTTTCCTCAATAGTTGATTTGACTATCTGAAATGGAGACTATTTGGTTCCTAAGTCTGAAGTACTTACTCTCTGGCCCTCTCCACAAAGCAAACATGTAGTGGCACACCCTGTTACTCAGAACTTGGGAAGCTGAGGCAAGAGGACCATGAATTGGAGGCTATCCTGGGCTATATAAGGGAAGACCGTGTTTCAAAATAACAAACAAGAAACCCAGAAAATGTTCTGACCCAAGTACTGTAGAAAAAGTCAATTTAGTAAAAGGAATTTAAGAAGCAGATTGGGATTTTAGTGACAATTGGAGAAAAATGGTTTTTGGAATGAATGAACTGCCTTTTAACCCTGGTGAAGTTTTTTAAAGGGCAGGGCAGGCAGCAGTTGGACGCCTTCTGCAGCGCTGTGCCCATGTGATCACTGTGAGTGATCCCTGTGGTGACAGTGAGATGAGGACACCAGTTTAGCAATAGCAATGTATCCACATCTCACTTTCCATCCGTATCTGTTCCATAGCTTCCTTTTCCTCGGTGTTTTTCCACATTGTGGATAGTTCAGAAGAGGCCAATGTAAACATTAATAAGACTTGCATTAAGCATTTTGGATCTCTAAATATTCTTTTGAGGAGTTTTTTTTTATCTAAAAAGTTTATTTCATAGCAGCAGAAAGTAGAACAGTTGTTACCAGAAGTTGGGGGAGGGGACTGGCGAAAGAGGAATGAGAAGAAATTGGTCAGTCTCTTGAATTTTGAATTAGTATTAAAGGAATTTAATATGGAATTTTTCAAAATTCTTAAGCATAATTTTAAAATATAAATTGATTTGTGTTTCTACTTAGTCCATTACAAGCACATAAAAGAGATTCTCCTAAAGCATCATGATGTGCGTGCTGAGGGATTTTCCTACTCTAAAGGCCTAGGAGGATGTGAATTACCGGTGCTCAGGACTTGATCCTTCTGCAACTGTCAGGGACCAGAAGTCACGCTCCACTGGGCGACCTTGCCTTGCTAAGAGACATCTTTCAGAAATTCAAGCTTGCCCTGCTACGTATCAAATAGAAAACCTAAGTCATTTAAGGTTGTTTATACATTTGCAAAATTTAAGGGGACTAATTTAAAATCCAATTTTATTTTGATTACATTGGGTCTCTCTCTGCCTGAATGAGGGCGAGGGGTAGGTTCCAAGTCCACAGATCTGACTATACTCCTCCTAAGGAATCAAAATCTTAGTTGTAGAAACGATAGAGAACATTGCTAAAGTTGTGCAAAATTAAGGTTTGGAATCCTACCCAAAACCCAAGTACGAATGTCACCCTTAGCACTCCACTAAAGAAATTAACTTCTCTGCCTCCTTTATTTGCCTCTGAAGGTAAATGGTATTTCTGAATTTGAAAGTAATCAAGCTTTTAATATTCGTACAAAAATTACAAAAATGATAACAAACAACTAACTGTATTTTTGCCTATCTGCCCATTTCAGACGAAAGTAGGTGGGGTGAACCACAGTGGAGGCAGTTTTGAGGAGGTCCTCAGCTCCACAGCCCATGCCAGTGCCCAGAGCGCTGCAGGAGGCCCCCGGCAGGCTGAGGAGGAGCTGCAGTGCTAGGTCCAGCCAGCCTGCTGTTGCATCCAGACGTTGGCCACTGTACAACCCATCTCTGCCCGAGCTTATCCAGATGTGAAGACCAAAATCCCACTGGGAAAACCAAGGTCTTGGTATTGTTACTCAATCGGCCTCACCAGAAAGTCCAATAAAATGATTTATGTATACATTTCTGTTAATGATGTCCACTTGATCATCACATTTCAGTATTGTCATCTTCGAAAATGTCCAATTGGAGTAGGTACACATTGGTTGTAACTCTTGACTGTGTAATGCAACATATATTCCCCAAACACATACCTATTAATTATTTGCTTTGGTTTTTGCTTGGCCTCCATTATGATATGCATGTACTTGAATGCTGAGTTCTTCAATTCGTCAGATCAACAGATGGAGCTCTTTATACTCTTTATGACTTTCTCCAGCAGAATGACTTACTGAAAATTTCATCAAACCTATGTTAATTATGTATGTTTATTTAAGTAATTAAAATAATTGATTTTAATGATAACTGAATACTTGATTTTTTTACATCGTCAGGGCTACTGGTAACTTTAAAAGATGGTATGATTCTACAGATGCAATTTTAAATCAACTTCTAATTTGGTAAGCAAGACAGAACATATGAAAGTAATTATAACTTCAGCTATGCTAGGATGCTAAAATATCTCTAATATTAAAATTCTCTCCAATCTCCAAATATCAGTAGCTACTCAGATAAAGGATATATGAAAAGGAGAGAGCAAGAAATGGAAGAAGCAGAATTTAGAATGCCTTTCACTTTGCAAATTGCTCACATGTATGAAAATAACTGATGTTTTTACTTTTACATTAACTGACTGACTGATTAATTGATTGCAATAATGAAGACTAGACCCAGGGCTTCTCACATACTAAGGAAGCAGTCTACCACTTGAGCCATGCATGTCTCCAGCCATTTGGTTTATAGTTTGTTTTTGAAATAGGGTCTCTTTAGCTCTGCCGAGTCTGCATTCACTCCTCGATCCTCCTGCCTCCCATCCCAAATAGCTGAGATTACAGGCATGTGCCACTGCACCCAGTCCTGATGTTTCTATTAATACATTCAGATTTCCATAATCCCTTTAACCTTCCACATTATACACTTCTTCTAAGTGTGAACATGCATTTGTAATTAGGTAGTAGAGATATAACCTTGATACACATTTGTAAATTATATACTGAAGAGACCTAACTGAAAGTGATCACAATTTTTAAAAGCCCACATAATAACATAACTTGTTAATATGTTTATTCTTCATATTTGTATTTAGTAGAAATAACCCAAGTATGGTGGTGCATGCCTGTAATCCTAGCACTCCAGAGACTGAGGCAAAAAAGATTCAGGGTTTGAGGCCAGCCTGAACTACATAGCCAAGACTCAGTCTCAAAAAACAAACAGAAACCTTAAACACGAATACATGTATACAACATAGTGAAACAAAGCCAACCTGAAAAATTCATGACAATTCATCCAGTCCATACATCTAACTGATTTGCCTTTTTTTTTTTTTTATCTTTTGGCAGTACTGGGGATAGGGTTTCACTGTTCTAGGCAGGTTCTCTATTGCTTGAGCCACACCTCCAGCCCCATACATCTAACTGAAAGCTGTTTCAGGGGCACATCTTAGCAGAGGACATGAGGCTGTAAATTTGGACCAGAGTGGACAAATGTAGACAAAGTTTGGTAAAAAAACGTATTTCCATCACCTCTACTAATCTAAAGACTTTACTAGTCACTGACCCAGCCAGGAGTGATATTTATAATGGCCATGATAGGAGCAATCTTTTTACACTGTCATGTCTGTGGCCAAGACACATCGCTCATATTAGAATAATCAAATCAGTTGTTGGCATGTGGGGAGTTGGTAAGATGAGGTTGTAAAAGTGAGCCATTCAGTAATTTAACCATTTAACATTTTTTTAAATACTGCTGATATGGAAAACATTCATAAATTTACAATGAAATTATCTTACAACTCACATCTTAAAGGCTGTGACTACTGGGAGATCATGTCAGCAACCTGCATCTTACTCTAAATTATACATTTCTTAGAAATCTGCTTTTGAACCACAGAAAACAAAACTGCATGTTTTATTCTGGATATGCTGTCTGGAAGCCATCACACCCACAGTGGCCAACGTGGACAGAACAGATGGGCATCTAAGCAGCTCTTCTGTCTTTGTTCATTGTCCTACAATTACCCATCAACATGAAAGTTCTTCATTTCCACTGTAAAATTATGACTAAGGTGTGATCTTCAATCCAATCACCCACCTCTTAGCATCTAACTGGAGTGGAAGTAGATGAGATAAAGGAAGATGGAGATACTATCATTTGGATCAGGAATGTCCCCCAAAGATCCATGGTGGTGTTATTAGGAGATGATAGGACTTTTAGGTGGGCCTAGGAGGTCACTGGGAGCATGCATTCAAAGAGGATTGTGGGGCCCGGATCTCTGCCTCTTCTCTTTCTTCCATGACTCGTATTATGAGTGGCTGTGCTCTACCATGCACTCCCACCACGATGTGCTCCCTCACTACAGGCCTAATGCAGTGGGACCAATCTATCACAGACTGGAAACAAAACTGTGGGCCAAAATAGGCCTTTTCTCTTTATAGGCTGACTAATACAGGTGTTAAAGTTAAAAAGTGATTTAATATGAAATATGAAACTGCCTTCTTCAAACCTGGCATTCAGGTATTATTTCAAATTATATTTGGCAAAAATATTATGGTTATTTTTGATAATCGCTTAAAGAATTGTAAAATTCTTTATGCTGCATTTCTACTGTAGTTCATATCATAGATGGTTTATTCAAGGCAAACTAAAACTAACATAATGAACTAATGGCTTAGTCCATTTTCTGTTGTTATAACAAAATACCCAAAGCTGGACAGTTTATAAGGAAAGCAGGTTTATCTGGCTCACAGTTTTGGAGATTCAAGAACAACTTTTCAGCTCCATGAGGGCCTTGTGGCAGATGATATCAAAATGGATGGATGGAACAAAGGTGGAAGAAATCAGAGATTCGGGGCCAGGCTTGCTTTTTTATAACTACTTCCTCTCACAAGAATTCACTCTGAGACCAGCATTAATTCCTTCAAGAACAAGCCCCCACAACCTAGTTATTTTGCACTAGGCCCCATTCCTCAGAGATTCCACCACCTCAACATTGCAACACATGCTTCCAGCACATGAGTCTTTAGGGGACACACACCCCATTTTCAAACCACAGCCGTAAATCTTCCAGAGAAATCACTTCTCACCTTTCAATATGAAGACTGTAAAATTATGTACACAAAAATGCTGAATATGGAGGCAGTTTCTTCACAAAACACTTCATCAGTCATTTACCCCAGAACATATATCACCACAAAGGTTTGAGAGGAATCAACATTTTTTTCAAATACAAGGGGATTGAGAATTATGCAATAGCTGGTGAAATGCCAACCCACAGGGGAAAACCAGTAACAAGGAGTTCTTTTTTGTTGAGTTCGACTCAAGAATATTTACTTACTCTGCATCATAATTATAGCATTTGTTATTCAGAAGACCAATTCCAAGCAAATAGCAAGTATCCTCCAAGAAAAAAAAGAATTTTTATCTTAAGTAATGTTCAAATATTTGTAAGCATTGTTGTTGGGTTCAATATCTATCTTCTCTTATTGGTCTGCATTTTGTTAAGATTTTATTCACACACTATAGTTTTTTTCTTTTTAAAAAACACATTATCTCAGAAACAAGGTTTAGGACTAATTGTGAACCCCACTTGATAGGAAGATGATAAACTGAAATAATGATTAAGTGACCAGTATAACGTCTGACCCAGTAGAGGCTTCCAAAGTCTCTGTGAATTGTTAGTTATTCATGAAAATTGCAGCAGGCAAAACATTCAAAATAAAACTCTAGGGACATAGAAAACTTTTTGGTTATAAATGCTTAAGCATTTCTGAGGTTATTTTGTACATGTGCTTTTTCATGCCAGAGAAAAAAATGTAACAATACAGACAGTTGGAGTTGTTTTCCTACTATGTCTCCAAAAATAATCAGACTTCGTGCTCTTTCACTTTTCAGTGCACAGCAACTGAATGTATACATGCATGTGTTGCTTCTGAAGCAATTACCCACCTTTTTCCTACAGATTGGGTATCCATGGATATCGCAAATCGTTTCCAAAGAAACGCTGCCCAGAATTTTCCCCAGGCCAGCCTCAAAGGCCATCTTCCAATGGAAACTGACATTTAAATTAAAGAAACAGGCCTCACTGCTCCACACCAAAATACCAGGCAGGCTTCCATGGATGGCATTCCTTTCCGCATTGTTAAATGGTTGTGCACCACATGCATTCAGGATGGATTACTTATCTCATGAAAGTGAGATGAGGGGGAGAAATCAGATTGCTATATAACCTACCTACTCCAGTGACTCCAGCAACCTTACTATGTACTTCTCACCTGGTATAAATGTTCTTACCACCAAGGCCTCCAGATCTATAAATCTGATGGTAAAATACAAAGAGGAAGACACATGGCACTTGAAATTTTATGCTCCATATTATATCTCCAAGTGATAAAAGATTGGGGTCAAGAGTGGGACCTATTAGCAGGTATGGAAATCTATGATCAGGAGCCTGATGCCAGGTGCAGTGAAATTCAACGATCCGACTCAAGAAAGTGACCATCTAATGAGGCAGCATTTCATCTGGGGAGTGATTTTCTTTTTTAAAGACTCTGTTACTACATCAACAGAAGAATCTGTTCTTAAAAGCAATCATAATAATAAAATTTGCTATCCTCAAATGGTCGAGGCCTTCTGGAACATAAGGTTATCATGTCAGAATAAGATAATTTAAAAATTCCAACAAACATTTCAAAGTTTAAGGTGTTGAATATTTATTCAGTTTTTTCATTAAAAAAAAAAAAAAAGGCACTCTTTTTCCAGTCTTCATCCATGGTGTTTTCATGATCACTTCCTATGCTGTGGCTTATTTAGTATATAAGTAGATCATATTTCTTGATGAAGTCCAGGCAATTGAAAATAAACAGACTCATAACTGGAGAAATCATCTGACCAACAATGGCAAAAACACAGTATCATGAAACAGAAAAACAAAACATGTATTACAGGAAAGGAGCAACAAACACAGAGCTCATGAGTACGGCTCACTGGTGGCCTCAGATATTTCTGCATTTCTTTGTGCCTCAAGTTCAGAAACAAGCTGGACTATCTCAGGATGACTGAATTTTCCTGAAAAAAAAAAAAGATTCCTATATTGACAAGAGAAGACATGAAGTTCCCCAGCTTGATCCCAGGGCTCATAAGGGGCTTTGTCCTATGATCTGACACATGCTTCATTCCAAAGCATTCCAGACCTTTGGAAGGGGCCAAAGGGGATCACTTTATCCTGTCACCCTAAGTGCCACCAAGTAGAAGTATAAAAATCAAAGAACCATCAGTTAGGCAGAGCTAGAGCAAACTTCATCAGGCAGCCTCTGAACACATCTACCAGGAATTATGGGAAAACTTAAGGTGTGAGAGCCCAGAGAACTGAAACCAATCTGCTCATTCCAAAACAAATTAATTACAAGGGGGTTATAGTACCTACCTGTAAAAACACAAGTAGGAAGACCAGGGGTTTGGGCTATCTCCAGATGTAAACAAGAATCCATCCTCTCTTGAATCAGGCTTGTTACCACCATTCCATGAAACCTGCTCTTATTGAGGCATCAATTATCTCTATGTTGCCAAGTCTGATACTGACCCTTTCCTTCTTGAAACACTCCCTTCCCTTGGCTTCTGAGATCCCTGGTTTTCTTTCCCTACTTTTTCCAACTAGTTGCAACTCCATTCTTCCAGTTATCAGGCCAAAATCCTTTGACTTCTCTCACAAACACTCCACATGCAATCCCTCAGTAAATCCTGTGAAGTCTACATTTGGCATATACCAGGATCTGATCATTTCTTACTTTCTCTACACCTACCACTCTGGTCCCAACAACCACCATTTCTCACACTGCAATAGCCCCCAACTGCTTCTAAGCTCAAGTGTCCCCTTTTAAGCACAAATCAGATCCAGTTATTCCTGGGCTTTCACATCTCACTCAGCACAAGTCAGGGTCCTACGCTGCCCTGAGGCCCTAAGTATCTTGGCCCATGAATCACTTCTGGAGGCTCATCACCTGCTCTCAGACACCCCACCAACCACATCTCTGCTGTTTCTCAACACAAAGGGATTCAGAAAGCAAAGACAGAAAAAGAACACAAAGTTGTGAAGTGAATTAGAGAGAAAACTGAAACTCAAGCCTTGATGTCCCTTTCAAATCCTTCTAATAGTCACAGTCTCCATGAGTCTTAAGGTTGCTTTAATTAAGCACTGATTATTGAGATAAATGAGAAACCATTTCTTAAATCAGTTATATTATTTTTACTTAACTTTTAAAAATAGAAGCAGTGCACCAAAGCGAAAGTGCAGAAAATTTTAATCTCAACTCAGCCATAAGCAAGTCACCATCTTTCTCAGTTTGTTTCTTCCTCAGTAAAATGTGGAAATTAAACCACTAAACCTTCTATTCACACACTTTTTGATTCTACTACTATTTCATGTTTCATTTTTTATTTTTCACTGTGAATATACTTAAAGGTAACTGTAAAATGCAAAGAACCACATAAACATAACCTATATTGTAGTTACATTACTGGTGAAAAATGCTATCTTTGAACCCCATAATTGCTTACAACACGGGTCAGCAAACCTTGTGTATAAAGAACCAGATCGTAAACACATTAGGCTTTGTGGGCTACAGTTTCTGTTGCAACTCTTCAGCTCTATTGTTGTACTGCAAAAAACAGCACAGACAAAACATAAATTAAGGATGTGATGTTTCAATAAAACATTATTTACACAAATAGGCAGCAATCAAAGTTGGGTCTTAGGCCATGGTTTTTGATCACTCATTTATAAGATATCAAATTTGCATGACCCAACATTTTTGCAAACCTTGTGTATTAAAGACATATTAGAACAAAGCTGGTCTTGGCCCTCAAACAATCTACTATTAGGTGGGAGGGACCAAGTAGAGGGTTCTACAGTTTAGATCTAGAATGTCCCCAAAAGGCCCATGTATTAAAGGCTTGGTCCTCAGGGTGGTGCTATTGGAAGGTAGTGGATTAAGGGGGGTGGTGCCTGTAGAATCGTGCTGTCAAAGGGGACTGTTGTTCTCAGCTCCTTCATTTTTTTTTTTTTCCTTCCATGTGCTGGCTATGACATGAACAGCTTTGCTCCACCACACACTCTACCATGATGTGCTACCACAGCCCCAGCAATAGGACTCAATTAGACATGGACTAAAACCTCCAAAATTGTAAGCCAAAGTAAACCTTTCCTCATTATAAGCTGATCATCTCAGGCATTTTGTTATAGTAACAGAAACTGACTAACAAAAGATTAACTACAGAGGAACATCAGAAAATGAACTGTGGGATTGTGGCAAGCTCTGGATCAAGTATAGACTGAGCAAAAAGGTAACAGTTAATTTTGATAGGGAGGTTAGGCAATGGACCAAAGAAATGGTGGTCTTCAATTGCAGGGCCAAAAGTGTCAGAATCTTTTGTTTTAGAAAGAAGAAAGCCATGAAAGTTTCTAAAATAAAGATGTTGGGGCTGGGATTGTAGCTCAGTGGTAGAGCACTTGGCCAGTATGTGCCAAGTTTGATCCCTAATAGTTGGAGGAAAAAAAAAGTCATAGATAACCAGGATGCCTGTGTCTACAAAGGAGGTCTCTGAGACAAGCAGGATGAAGCTGCAAGCCTGTCAGCAGCTTAAGTGAGGAGGTTATAACAACAGTCCAATAAAGAAACAATGAGGGCTTTGTCTGGAGCAGAGGAAATGGAAAGGGGAAAGAGAAAAAGGAAAACTGAATCAACTTCATTCTAATGCAAATCAGATTTTGAAGCACAGTCTATGAACTAAGACTTTTCTCTACTTAGAGGCCATATGAGGATCCTGAAAGGTCAGAGAAAGGCTACTCTTCGCAGTACTCTCAGGGGAGATGAAGACTGAGCTGACTCTGATGGGCTCCCAGGGAAAAAAAGAACCCTAGCCATCTCTAATACAGTGTGCTCCGCTCCTCATTCTGGAACATATCAAAATGAAGACAGCTGGCTAGTACTTAGTGCCAGGTACAGTTCCAAGTACACTAAGTGAATTAATCTACTATATTCTGAACACACTAAATCCTGAAACAACCCTATAAATTGATGTTATTATTAGTCCTACTGAAAAGACAAAGAAACTAAGGCCAGAGAAGTTAAGTAATTTGCTAGAGGTTACACAGTTTGACTCCAGGGCTGAAAGTACAATAATGATGAAGGTGTCTTCAGCTATGAGGATTTTCCTGTCTTAAATCTCTATTTAACTTCATCTTCCATGACCTTTTAACTATAAAACACTTACAGTTGACAGAGCCCTTTCACATTTTGAATCTCAAACACCAACCTTGGATTCAAGAAAGGTATTATGATCCCTGTTTTTCAGGTGAGGTCAAAGCTCTGAGAGGTCAGGACACTGCCCAGGGGTACAAAGCTGGTAGGTGGCAGAGGCAGAATTTGAACAGTGCTCAGGCTCCAAGGTGGCAATGTTCCTAAGCATCACTGGCCTCTCCCCAGCAATCCTACCATTTTGTTTTTAGATGCTCCACAGGAGAGGGTACCAACGGTAGGGTTCATTAACACACCATTAGTCTTGGCACTAAGAATAAACCAAACTAAAACAGATTTTCGTTGAGTACCTACCTGCTGTGGAATCATAGAAGTCTTGCAGCTGCCCAGGTTTGTTCTCAAGATTTTCATATTCAAATGCCTGAAGGATCATCTCACACTGATCCAGCTGCTTCACAAACTTGGCTTCTGCACTAGACTGTGTCTCGTACTCCTAAGAAAGAGGACAATTATGGATGTCCAATAGGGAACTCCAGGAAACTTCTGATTCTCGTTCCTAAAGTCAGAGTCACAGCTAAAAGCACAGTCAGTATTGGCTACATTATACAAAGCCTTCAGACACTTCACTTAATTTCACAGCTTAACACCAGGAATTAATTTCACAGCTTAACACCAGGAAGGAGTCCGTACAAGAAGGATACACTTATCATTCCACATATTCCACCAGATGCCTTGGAAGCCTCATTTGTTCATCTTGGACACTTCCAAGTTTTTTTTCTTTCTGTTTAATATCCTGTCTTTGTTTCAAAATCATTACTCTTTAATCCACCTGGGTAGTTTAGACACTTTTAACTTCAAGATGATTTTTCATATTATGCTTCTCAAGGTTATATGTCTCTCCTATTTTAACTTCAGATTATTACCTTTCCTCTTTAAGAAAATGTCTAGTTTTATAATTTCCTTTTGGTTTCCACTTTACCTAGAAATCTCTGTCCTTAGTGTCCACCTACAGTAAGTCCCTCCTGGTTATGACTATTGGGGACACAATAAAGATCTGTGGCTTTTACATGCATTGCTCTGTGTGCATGTTTTGGTGGCAGAGAGTGGTAAAGACAGTGGAAAAAGAACAGAGTTTTCATCTTTTCTCTTCCCACTGGTCCCTCACTCCCCAGTGCAGACCAAATAAAAGAGCTCCAGGAAGTCTGCTTCTTACAGCATGACACATTCATACAACTACAAGGCCCAATTAATGCTACATGGGATTATTCTTCTATTAGGAACAAAGTGTTCCCAAGTGGTTTCTCTGCAAAATTATAATTTGTAATTCTACTTCAGATGTGTTCAGACAATAAGCCTGTCACGCTTTCTTGGCAAATCACTGAAAGGTTTCTTGGTTTCTTTGTTTGTTTGTTTGCGGCACTGGGGCTCAAACTCAGGGCCTTCACATTGAGCCACTCCATCAGCCCTATTTTTGTGAAGGTTTTTTTGCAATAGGGTCTTACAGAACTATTTGCCTGGGCTGGCTTCGAACCATGATTCTCCTGATCTCTGCCTCCTGAGTAGCTAGGATTACAGACATGAGCCACCAGTGCTGGGCTGGTTTCTTGGTTTTTATTAGATGTCTTATTCATATAAAAACAACTATTTGGGTTGATATAACTGAGTATTATACAGGGAAATAATTTAAATATGAACTCTAACATATTTTGCTTTATCTCAAAGGCACTTAAAACTGGCTCAGTTTTATTTAAGTATTTGTTCACATTCATAGTTTCATAGTTATATTAAATAAATTCAGTTCATGATTTAACCAAAGGAAATGGAGTACTCAAGGATTTCATTTCTGTTGAAAGCTGAAAGTAAGAAAAATACTTCAAGACCGTTAGGAAATATATAGTATTCTATAGCAAATTCTAGTGAACTTATAGACTTTTTCTTAAAAAATGTAAATTGTTGGATTTTCTCCTCAAAAAAAATGATAGTAAAGGCATTCTTCAATTTTATTTCCCAATAAGGAGGCAGAACAGGAAGAATAATATTACAGACAAGCTCTAAGGGTGAGAAGGATGCAGGGCATTTGGAGAAATTACTGCAAGTAGTTTCTAATGGAATAAGACCCAGTGTTTCAGGAAGGAAGAGGAAAGAGAAATGGCTAAACACTGGAGGCAAGAGCCAGTGCGTGAAAGGCCTTCCAGTTTCTGCTCAGTGTCTCAGCTTACCCTGCAGCTACTAGGCATCAATGAAGAGTTTCTAGCAGGAAGAAGCATGTTCAGATCTGCATTTCAGAAAGATTACTCTAACTACAGTATGGATAATAGCTACACTGGAAGTAGAGAAATCGGTTCCAACACTGTAACATTACCAGTGAAGATGGGGAGATGTGGGAGAATTTAAGAAATGTTAAGGATCAAAGGAACTAATATAAGAAAGGAAATGAGAGGGAAAGCTGAAAATGACTTTCGGGCCTGAATAACTAAGTAGATGTTACAAACTGTCAGAGCAAAATATTAATGAAATAAAAATCTCATGGGTACCTCTTATAATAAAACAAAGAGGAATGGCATTCTCATACAAGTTTGACAAACCACCTCCAGTCACAAACCTGCACAGGATCAGTTCCTGTTGGGAGAAGGTATCAGGGTGCAACAGGACGTTTGAGGAATAGTGGCCAATAGTGGGGGAGATCCTGCCCACTTATGAACATGGGGGTTACACAAAGATAGTCCAAAGATAGTCTGACTTCCTGAGGTGTTTATCCAGGACAGGGACCCACATGAAGAGAAAATGCTGGGAACAGAATCAAAATTGAGTGGGATAAGGATTATAGAGATGAAATAAGAAAAGACCCAAGTAAAAACAGGGAAGGGGAACAAAGTCAGGAAACCTCTAAAAACAAGTCACCATTTTTCTACCATTACATGAAAAAGGAATGGAAAAGAAAGTTCAGTGAAGTTAAAAAAGCAATCTGTTCTCGCAACAAAAAATGGTATCTGAAGAATGCATATGCTAATTAGCTCAATTTAGGTATTCCAAATATATGTATTTTAAAACATCATGTACACAGTATAAATATATACAATTTTATGGCCAATTTAAAAATAATAAAAATTAAGAAACTGAAAAAAGTGATATAAACAAGGTTTCCTTTCAAAAGATCTAAAAAACTAATTGAACATCAAAAAAAGCAACAGAAAAGCACAGAGGTCAGATCCCATACAAACTTATCATAAGATAAAGAAAATAAGGGCTTGGTTTGGTGGTGTAATTCCAGCTCCTCGGGAAGTGGAAATAGTAGGATTGTAATTCAAGACAAGCTGGAGAAAATGTTAGTAAGACCCTTTCTCAAAAACAAGCTGGGTGTGGTGGTGCATACCTGTAGTCCCAGCTACTGGGTAGGTAGAGAGATCAGAGGATCAGCTTTGAGGTTATCCCTGTCAAAATTAGTGTGAGACCAGGGGCAGGATAACCAATGTACATTGTAAACCTATTCAGAATTGTCACAATGAATCACCCATGTACAACAAAAATATCCCAATAAAAGTAATTTTAAAAATTAGTGTGAGGCCATATCTGAAAAGCACAAGGCCTTGAGTTTAATCCCCAGTATTGAAAAAAAAAAAAAAACCTCCACAGGCAATTCACATCAGAAAGATACATGCAAATTAAAAAGAGAGAGATCAAATATACCACAACCTATTTCAAAAACCACTGAAAGACAATAATAAAACTATATAAGACATGAAAGAACAACCAGAAAAGAATTAATAGAAAAAAGAAAAGTTCATTGTAGAAATGAGGGCAAAGACTAAGCAATAAGAAAGCTAAGGGTCATTAAACATGATAAATAATGTCTTACAAGAAACAGAAATTGAAAAAGCAGATTAAGTTAGAAAGTCAAAAAATGAAGTATATATAAAGGATTTCAAAGAAGATGGCAAATACTGAAGTAAGATGAAGAAGAACATACACATGTATGGGGGCATCTCAGAAACAAAGAAAGCAAAAGCAAAGCAAAACTAAACTCTGGGAAAACTTTCACAATTAAAAAAGGTTTTGAAAAATTTGAAGGTATATGTTAAAAACACACATGAAATACCCAAGGATATTAACCCAAAAAGATCAATACAAACACACATTCTAAAGAATTGTCAGGCTTGCCCAAACCCCATACACTCAATTTCCAATCCCTACACCTTTTAATCAGGGTTAAGCCTCCAAACCCCTCCCCGCAGAGACCAGGATTTTGTTCCCGTACAACCTTAGTGGGGAGGAAAACAGGCCCAAAAGACCCTAAAACTCTAACCAAAAACTCTTAGATCTCATAAACATGTTTAGCAAAATGACAGGATACTAAAGTGATAAACAAAAATCAGTTGTATTTCTATACACAAAAAATGAACAGTCAGAAAAAATTAGGAAAACAGTACCATTCACAATAGCTTCAACAAAATTAAAATACACAGGAATAAGTTTAATGAAGGAGGTAAAAACCTGATGCAATGAAAATTATAAATCACTAAAGAAAGAAATCAATGAAGGCATTAGAAGATGGAAGGACATCCCATGCTCATGAATCAGCAGAATCAATATTGTGAAAATGTCTATACTCCCCGAAACCAATCTATATGTTCAACCAATTTGTATCAAAATATCAATGACATTCACCAAGATAGAAAAGTCAATCCTACAGTTCATATGGAAACACAAAAGATCTCAAATAGCTGAAGCAATCCTGGGCCAAAAGAGCAACACTGAAGGTATCACAACACCTGACTTCAAACGATACTGCAGAGCCATAGCAATAAAAACAGCATGGTACTGGCACAGTAACAGGCATGAAGACCAATGAAACAGAAGTCCCAGACATGAACCCACCCATCTACCGCCATTTGATTTTTGACAAAGGAGATCAAATTATGCACTGGAGAAAAGACAGCCTCTTCAACAAATGGTTCTGGGAAAATTGGATCTCTACCTGCAGAAGACTGAAACTAGATCCCAGTCTTTCACCTTGCACTAGTATTAATGCAAAGTGGATCAAAAACCTTAATATGAGGCTTGAAATGGTGAAATTAATCCAGGAAACAATGGAGAATATACTAGATTATATAGGCATAGTAACAGCTTTATGAATAGAACTCTAACAGCCCAGCAATTAAGAAAGGACAAATAGGACAGCATGAAATTAAAAAGCTTCTGCACGACAAAAGAAACAGCCTACAGAATGTGAGAAAAATCTTTGCCAGCTGTACTCCTGACAGGGGATTAATACCCAGAACATACAGGGAGCTCAAAAAACTAACTTCACAAACAATCAATAACCCACCAAATAAATGGGCAAATGGACTAAACAAACAATTCTCAAATGAACAAATGGCCCATAAATACATGAAGAAAGGCTCAACACCCTGTGGTAAATAACAAGTACGTGTAGAACTAAGACTAAATGAGGTTTCAAAGGAAAAAGTTAGAGTGTGCAGAGGTTATATTTTT